CCAAAACACACGAGCGCAGATTAAAACCCCAAAACACACGAGCGCAGGTTAAAACACCAAAACACACGAGCGCAGGTTAAAACACCAAAACACACGAGCGCAGATTAAAACATCAAAACACATGAGCGCAGATTAAAACATCAAAACACACGAGCGCAGATTAAAACCCCAAAACACACGAGCGCAGATTAAAACCCCAAAACACACGAGCGCAGATTAAAACCCCAAAACACACGAGCGCAGGTTAAAACACCAAAACACACGAGCGCAGATTAAAACATCAAAACACATGAGCGCAGATTAAAACATCAAAACACACGAGCGCAGATTAAAACCCCAAAACACACGAGCGCAGATTAAAACCCCAAAACACACGAGCGCAGATTAAAACCCCAAAATGTTTTATAAAGAAATGCTGGAACAGATTTGAGGCTCACATTCTTGACAGTGATCTCCAGCTCAATAATCCGCCTCTCGTCTTTCTGTCTGTGAGTAAGAGCAGAAGTCTGGGCCCCCTGTAGGTCACACAGTTTACAGTTAGTCATGGTAGAACAAGATTCCAGCGAGGCTCTGAGGAGTTGGAATCCAACGAAACGAGTACTCCATCAGTGAATGTGCCAGTTGTTTGTTCAACAAACCAAAAGTGTTTGGACGAGAAAACTAATGCTGAAGAAAAACATGCTTGTAAAGCCCGTTCAGACCTGGCACCAACATTCGTCCTGGGCAGATGCTTTGCTTCTAAATACAGATGTAAATGCTCGAAACGTGCTCTGAAGACACTTCCACTCAGCTAAAATAATTAAATGAACAGTTGTCAGAATCCTTCTCAATATAAATGTGAAGAGTGAATTAACCAGTGGATTACCAAAAGAAAAGGTGGAAAGTTTTTCCTTTAGTTTTTCGTTAATTGGACCCACTATGGTTAGGCCTGTCATGATAACACATTCTGCTGGGTGACTGTCTCAGAAATTATTGCAATAAATGATCATATTGTTTGAAATTTGATAATAATTAGTAATTATTGTCAAATTTAAGAAGAAATGTTGGTTAATTGTTTTGGGTGTAGTACCTTTTTATGACCACTGGATGGCAGTATAAGACTGTTTGAACCAAAGGATGGATAGAGAGGGAACGAGCAGCGCGTCTCCAAGAAATATGAGAGGGAGGCTCCTTGACGTGACGCGGGCTGTCTCTCCTTCCTGTTTTTCAGTTCTCAAAACAGAAGATGCTCGGTGTGGTTTGAGCTCTTTAATAAAAAAATCAGTAAACAACTTCTCAGCTTCTTTTTGCAGAGAAAAACAACTTTTTACACGAAGGCACGAGTTTCATCCGTGAATTTTGGAGCTTTGACAAGACGGAGGTTTTTTCCCAGAGGTCGGCCTGTTAGTTTAGCTTCTCAGCTTAGCTGCTTTTAACTGTCCAAAAATGCCATTTTGGACGTTAAACAGATTTTCAAGAGAAAAGAGAAAGGGAGGCGTCAGTGAAGAGCACCGGTTGAGCTTTTTGTCATCCAGTGTCTTCAGTAGAAAGAGAGAGACACGAAGAAACGATAAAGCAGATAAATGAAAATGAGGTTGATAATTTTCATTTATCACACCATTAATTGATTTTGTTTATCGTGACAGGTCTAGTGACAAAAGCAGCTGGAACAAATGTTAGTGCCGGCTCTGAACAGTGCCTTAAAATAAACTTCTTTCATTATTTATAAGAAACTCTCAAAGAGCATGCTAGTCATTTCAATAAATCATTGTGAAGTCTGAACAGCCTCTTATTAAATTATTTAGTAACTAATTGGTGATATAATGTAAATAGGTACAAGAAACAAAAAGGAATTCTGCATCACATTCATTTGGACAAAGACGAGCATGACTCTTGGAGTAACCTTTAGTCTGTCCAGAAGCTCATCTCTCTCAAAGGTCATCTGGTCAAGTTGAACCTCCACTCGTTTGAGCTCCTCCTGCAGTTTCAAAACATCAGCTGACGCATCTGTTTTACGGGACACCTTTAAGTCGTCTTGAGTCTAAAAGAATGAAACCAAATGTGATGTTCTGAGAAGGTCACATGATTCTTTGCACACATGAAATGCTCTCCTGCTGGATGAATTGGTGTAAAACTCACTTGCTTATAGAGCGTTTTGAAATGGTCTCTCTCATCGCAAAGGGCCTTCACATTGTTCTGAATGTCCTCCGTCTGCTTCTCAACGTCCAGCAGAGCCACCTTCAGCTCATCTCTCTCTTTAAGTACATCCAGCAGCTCTTCTTGCACCTTTTTCTGAAAAATGCAAAGCTCTTATGCTGGAAACCTTTGGCATCAGCTTTATAAAAACTAAGCTACATTTTGTCCTGATGCTGCTCAATAATCCAGGTAGAAAAATCTAAAAAAGTTCAATCTGGTCCTCTGGACATTCAAAAAAACAAAAAATAAAACAAAGCAAAAAAAATCTAGAAACGTTTCGTCTCTCATCCAAGAGACTTCCTCAGTCTGAGGTGCTGTATTCAGTTCAGTCTCTTAAATAGCACCTTCTCAGGGTGGATCAACCAGTTTGCTGCTGACAACCAAAACCAGCTGATCACATGCTCAAGAAGGACCATCAGCCTAACAATGGATCATTAGCACACTGGTGGCTGTTTACTATTCACAGAGGGCTGAGTGATACTAGCAATCACAGCATTGTAAGAGGGGGACAGTTGAACCCGGAGGCTCCACCCCTGTTTAATGATGGACGGTTTCTTTTCACAAAGATGGCCTCCTTTACTCCTCTCTCAAACCATCGTTCCTCTCTGTCCAGGATGTGAACATCTTCATCCCTGAAAGAGTGACCGCTGGCCTGGAGATGAGTGTAGACCGCAGAGTCCTGGCCTGATGTTGTTGATCTTCTGTGCTGGTCCATCCTTTTGGCCAGTGGCTGTTTAGTTTCCCCGATGTAAGACTGATCACCCTCCTGACACTGAACAACATACACAATATTACTCTGTTTGTGCCGGGGGACTGGATCTTTGGGATGAACCAGTCTTTAATGTATTTTGGGGTTTAAAAGCCACTGGGACGTTGGGTTTAGAAAATAAACGTCTCAGTTTCTCTGATACTCCCTCAACATATGGAATGACCACTGGTCTGGGTCTGGGTTCCTCCTTTTCACCGGTTGGCTGACTGGAGTCCTGTTTGGGTTTCTTCTCTGCTTTCAGGAAGGCCCAGTTAGGATATCCACATTGCTCTAGAGCCTGTCTTGTGTGGGATTTCTCCTTCTGCCTGGCTCCTGAGCTAGTGGGGACACTGTCTGCTCTGTGGTACAGAGTCCTGATGACTCCTAACTTGTGCTCCAAAGGGTGATGGGAGTCAAACTGCAAATACTGGTCTGTGTGGGTGGGTTTGCGGTACACGTCAGTTTGCAAATGTCCTCTACCAGAGACTGAGACCTCACAGTCCAAGAAAGCCAACCTGACATTTTTTACATCTTCTCGTGTGAACTTGATGTATTTATCCACAGAGTTGATGTGGTCAGTAAAATGTTGGAGTTCCTGAGATTTAATTTTAACCCAGGTGTCGTCAACATACCTGAACCAATGACTTGGTAGTGTCCCTGAAAAGGACGTCAAGGCTCTCTTTTCTACCTCCTCCATGTACAGGTTGGCAACAATAGGAGAAACTGGAGACCCCATAGCACACCCATGTTTCTGCCTGTGTAACATCATCAGGCCAGGACTCTGAGGTCTACACTCATCTCCAGGCCAGCGGTCACTCTTTCAAGGATGAAGATGTTCACATCCTGGACAGAGAGGAACGATGGTTTGAGAGAGGAGTAAAGGAGGCCATCTTTGTGAAAAGAAACCGTCCATCATTAAACAGGGGTGGAGGCCTCCGTGTTCAATTGTCCCCCTCTTACAATGCTGTTATTGCTAGTATCACTCAGCCCTCTGTGAACAGTAAACAGCCATCAGTGTGCTAATGATCCATTGTTAGGCTGATGGTCCTTCTTGAGCATGTGATCAGCTGGTTTTGGTTGTCAGCAGCAAAACTGGTTGATCCACTCTAAGAAGGTGCTATTTAAGAGACTGAGCTGAAAACAGCACCTCAGACTGAGGAAGTCTTTCGGATGAGAGACGAAACGTTTCTACATTTTTGTGTTGATTTGCTTTGTTTTGTTTTTTTGAATGTCCAGAGGACCAGATTTAACTTTTTTAGATAAGCTACATTTTGTTTCTACGTTTATAGAAACACAGTAGTTTGATTATCGTCTTCTACCTTGATCCGTTGAGACTTTGGACTCCTGCCTCTGTCTGGACTGAGACTAGGACTCAGTCCTGGACCACCAGCTCCTCTGGTTCTTTTGTAGCGCTCAGCCTCCTGGCGATAATAATTCCTCTCTTCTTCTAGACTCTTAACAAAAGCATCTAGACGAGATGGTGAGTGTTCTCTTCCGCAGACACCATGTTCAGTGCGCATCGTCTCCAACTCCATCACCAGATCTTTATCTGAAAAAAAAAAAAGTCATCAATAAATAAATGAATAATAAAGTAAAAACTGATGCAATGCAACAGTGAAGGTGAACCAAACTTCTGCTTACCGGTTGTCATCATCTTCTCCACTTTGTCCTGCAGCCTGGTTTTCTCGTCTTCCAGGAAGTTCACGAGCCCCTCCACCTTCTCATTTTGCTCTTTGAGCTCCACCAGTTGATCCCTGAGACGATCTTTTTCAAACTCACTTTCAGACTGCTCCTGAATTCAGTTATTTCAATAAATGGTTTATGTACCAAACATAATATTCACCAAGAATAAACCTCAAAACAAAATAAGCCCACCCGTCTAATCTTTGAGATAATATCCTCCAAGTCTTCAATGGTTTTCTGCTGCCTTTCAAGTTCTTTCTGTTAAGAAAACAGTTCATGATCATTCAGAACCGTGTGTTTCCCTGAAACTCTTCTAGCTCGTGTTACATAGCATTTTCCTACATTAGATTTCTGTAGCTCGACGTCAGCAGTTTCTAACATGTGCTCTTTGTCCATCTCCATGCGCTTGGCGAGGTGATCGATCTGCGTCAGCTCTTCACACAGTTCCAGGTTCTTTAAAGACAGAGTGGCCACTTCAGTAGAGGCATCCTTCTTCTTCTGCTGCAGTCCATCTACCTTTTGTTCCAGGGTTCGGTTGGTTTCCTGCAGGTACTCGATCTATATTGTATAGAGCAGCAAATTACCTTCAGTTAGTCCCCACAATGATTCACAACCCTTTTCTTCTAGACGAATTAAAGGGCCCCGGCTGCATTATCTGCAACAATACAGGTGCTTGCCTGAAGGTTCAGATGTGCAATCAGTTTCTCACTGCTGATATTCTGAGCTTCCAGTGAAATGACGTCATGAGGTCGTCCTCCACGTAGTACGTAGTTCAGACGCTCAATCTCTTTGTCTCTTTCCTCCACCTGCTCAGAAAACAACTTATTAGATGTTAATCAACCTCTAACACACAATGCCAAACCCTGCCTTTCTTACCTGAGTACTTAAACGTTTTATACACTCTTGGGAATTTTCCAGGTCTAGTTTGAGTTTGATGATGTCTTCCTGGAGCTCATGAATTCTACAAACACATTTAGCAAAACTAAAAAAGGTACAATAATGCAAATCTGTGGAATTCAAATGAACTACACATGCATTAAGGAATCGCTTTTTACGTTTTTGATAAATAGAGCAAACCTTCCATCGGCCAGCTGCAGCAGATCAGCTACATATGGATCATCGGGCTGCAGGACCGGATACGCAGATGTGGAGGAGGGAGGTACGAGCTCATCAATTTGCATTCTCTGTCGTCTAAAAGGAATACTGCGCTTCTTTCCACCTGGAGAAGTTAATTGGATACATGAAAGATATGAGTGTGAGCGTAAATAAACTTGTTTTCCAAATGCTGTGAAAGAGAGTAACCTGGTGTCTGCACAACAGCTTGCATGTTCTTTTCTTGCAGCTGCTGGATGCGCTCAGCTTTAGCCTTGCTGTCTCTCTCCAGGCAGCGAACCTTGTGCACGTACTGGTTGTTTAAAAACTTCAGGTCAGATGTCTCGTGGTCCAGTTTTCTAATGTGAGTTTTGAGCTCTGAGCAGTAAAAACAGGGACACGTGGCGTCAACAGTCATTTCATTCTGCAGGTTAAACAGAGGAGCCATTTACCTCTAGTGACCAGATGTTTGTCCTCTCTCAGTTTCAGGAGCTCAAGATGCAGCTCGTTGTTCTCCCTGACCACCCTGGCATTCTCTGCCCTGTGGGGCTCCAGCAGGGCATCAACATTTCGGCTTTCCTTCTCGGTCTTTCCTGCAGACAGCTTGGCATTGCGCAGGCTCTCGGTGGTGTGGACCAGATCACTGCAACGCAAAGGACGGATCTGTTACACTAGATGTCATTAGACAGGGCTAACAGATCTAGATGTCATTAGATAGGGCTAACAGATCTAGA